TTTAGCGCCCGAGGGAAGAACATTCCGGCCTCCCTGGCTGGCAGACAAGCCTCTTGCAGCGGGCTGGCCTGCACCTAAACCGAGCATAAGGCGGGACGGAGGTGGGGTGTGCGGAGCATGAGCGTTGTCAGGTCCCACTGCGCCTCTTCCGTGCCCACCTCTCTTGCTGGGACTCACCCCACCCCAGAGCCATCTTTTCTCCAAGAGGGGTCAGGCCCTGCCAGGACCAACCCTTGCCCTGCCAGAGGGAGGGCCGGCCCAGGGATCCCTGGTCTCCTCCATCGGGCGGCGGAGGGGGCCTCCCTGCTGCTCCGCGCGGCCCAGGAATCCAGGTTGGGGCCCCTGCCCTCGGCTGCCTGGCAAAGCCGCCCCTCCAGGAAAAGGAACGGGTCCGGCGGCTGCCCCCTCGACAGGCACAGGGGGCAGGGTCCTGCCACCCCGAGGAGCCAAACCCGGCCCGCGTCCACTGCAGGAACTCGTCACTGTCAGCCCGGCCGTTACCACCCACCCACCTGTGCCTCGCCAAGGGGGAGTCAGGCGAGAAGGAGAGCAAAGCACTGGCTGCTCTCCCAAATTATGCACACACAGACAGACACAAACCCCACCAAAAAAAAAAAAAAAGCAAAACACACCATGCTGTGCTGGCACCAGGCTTCCTAGCCGTTTTTGAAATAAACAAATGAAATTGAAGGTTGCTAAAAATGGAACCGGGCTAATCTTTCTCCTAAAACTGCCCAGCCTTCCCACAACTGCTTTACATCTGCTGGCAGAGCTTGACTCAGGCAGGCGAGGGATCCCTGGGGGGGGGGCTGCACCTCCTCTCAGGAGCCCCCCCCCCACAGCAGGGGCATGAGTGCCTCTTACTGACTTGGCAGTGCCTCCACCCTGGGGGTGGGGGGGACAGGGGCTCCAGCTGCCCCCCCCGACCCCACCAGGCCCTCGGCTGTAAACTGGGGAGGGGGAGAGAAGCAGGGCGGGCGGGCGGGGGCTTTAGTGAAGAGGATTTTCTGGTGGGGTTCCTTCCTGAGTAGTCCCAAGGCAGGGAATCCTGACAGGAGAAAACCACTTTGCCTTTGGGGCACCGCAGCCCTGCTGAATCTCTCCCCCCCTCCAGGACTCCCAGCAGGTCCTCGGATGGGCTGCAAGGGAGGTGGGGGTGGGTGGGGGTTGGAGGAACTCAAAGCCTCTCCCCCCCCCACCCGGCCTGGAGGGGACTCTGGGTGGGGGAGCAGCCCCCTTCGTCCCCGCGGGCGGAGAGCAGAAAGCCCTCCTGGGCAAACTGCAGCCGGGAGTATTGGCCAGGCAGAGGAAGAAGGGGGGGCGCGCGTGGGAGGGGGGAGAGAGTTTACCTCGACCTACCTTAACCCAGGAACCCTTAAAAATACAGAAACACTTAAAGGCAACAAAGCTGAATAGCACTGGTGGATGAATATATGGATGGTTTTTTTGCAAGGGTTTGCAATAGTAGTGTCCCATCTCTCCCCAAACCCATGATATTTGTGCGGTAAATAAAAAGGGATGAGATTTAAGTTAATTGTCCTGTTGGGTCCATGATCTAGAATCTCTATGATGTGACATTCCTCCTCTTGTTCATATTTCTGAAGGTGATCAAATGCCAGAAAGAGCTTCCTATGATGTAGCAATGATTTAGTCATTCCGTCTGCATGTCTCCGATGGGTGTTAAGAATTTAAAACTTCAGGGGCAAGTTTTGTAAAAGGATTTTACTTTCCCGACAAGAGATTTTCCCAGTGTTTCTTATCTGCCAGCCCAGGCCTAAATCAGCCTGTCATGTAATCAATGGGCTATGATAGGCTGATTATCATGTAGGATAAGTGATATCTATTAGAAAAAATTGATCGTGACATAACTCAGGGAAAAAAAGGCAATAGCTAAAAGCAAAAGACCATGAGCCCTGAACTGGCCTTTGTACATATTTAATGGCTGTCATTTCGCTGAAGGTGCTTCCTTAACCTGCAGCATCACCCTGGAAACTTTTCTCTTCCTCACAACAACCCGGTAAGGTAGAGCATGAAGCCGAGCTTCTCTCCACGCTTGGGTTTTGGATCCCCCCGCAACGCTCCCCGCCTGAGATTGAGGCGGAGGGTCTTCCCCGCCCCCCGAAATGTCCTCCCTCCCTCCCGTAAGGAAAGACGAAACCCTCGTCCTGGGCATCCCAGCCGTCTTTGGCCCCCCAGGGCGACGCCAACGGCACGCGCAGGCCCTCCGTCGAGGCCCCGCCCC